CAATAAAATTGTTCCAAATAGTATTACTATTGTTTATTTTGATGACTTACCTAACTCACACATATATGTGTAATATGAATTCTTCGCATAAGTATGTCAACATGTGTTTTATAAAATATGAAATTGCTGGTGCTTATTAGAGCCTATCATACTATATATAATCTAACAAATGTTTGTCTTTTCCAGGAGGCCAAAGCAAAACACTTACAGTCTCTTGAAAAGTCTCTTGAAGAAAAACTGATCGTTGTTTTCACTCAATTCCTTCTTGTCACTGTTCAAATATGTCCTCTTTTCCTGTACATGCTTTATATTTTTACTTTTGTTGTAGTTGAACAAATATTTCTTCTTTCTGACTTTGCTAAAAAAAAAAACTTTTTATTCTGAATTTTTCCTTTTGTTTTCTTCTGAAATCTCCATACACTGGGTTTGGAAGACGATAATATAGCTGGCAGAATATCTTGCGAAGATGATTAAAAATTGCATAAAACCAAACTGAAGTCATTTTCTTTTCTGGAAGAATACATGCTACTGCAGTAACAGTTGTCTATCACTTCGAGTAGAAAACGTATCAACTTCAGCCGTGCCATAATATATCATCCCCATTTTAGCTATTGATATTTTTCTCTTGAGCGGTACACTCGTGCATATAGAAAGGAACGGAAAGTGATATCCCTGGATTTTCCAGGAGAATGCTTGATAATACTGGGCAGAATTAATATCTAATGCAAATAATACTATCATACATGCAATGGATTCACTATATGGTGCGGACCGCAATAGGTGACACATCAGAGGGAATTATACCAAAATGAGTGTCTATACAATTTCTGAATTTTTGTGCAGGAAGGAGGTCCATGGGGTGACAGCATGAGTTACCGGACTGGGTGACACCAACACTAGTGAACCCACTGCATACATGTTAGAAGATTGTCAATTCGTTTACCCGTGGACCTGGAATCGAATCTCCGAAGAACACGAATAATAAATGTCTATCTTTAACATGTTATTTGTCTTCTTCAAACTTTTTCTTGCTCTACGATATTATTTGATCTCATTGGCTTCACATTATTTTATCAACTTTTAAAGCCCGTAGCACAAAGCTTCGTAATGACTGAAAGAAGTATTACGATTTCCGGAAAGGGTTACTTTTCTTTCTCATGAATTGTAAGTCGGCATGTATTACGGTATAGTATTGTACGAGGAATCCCTCATTTGTACAGTACAGTACATCTCTCTGTCTCTCTGTCTCTCTGTCTCTCTCTCTCTCTCTCTCTCTCTGTACATTTACGTTCCAAATACCCAGCCGCTTATCAAGATTTATTCTACTTGAAGTTAAAGTGCCCAGAGATAAGTATCGATAAACTTTAATTTGGTCCAACCTTAGGAAAATGTATACATGTTTGAAATAACAATATCGTGTACACGGTTTGCTAAAGTAAACAAGTACGCACCCACTTTGCTCTTCCATGAAAAGTGTGTCATGAATACAGTCTACTAAAAACAGTATTTGATTGTATTCTAACAAGTTTACTCTCTTATTTGCCTCGTTTAATATGCGTATTCATGCTGAAAATTAATCGGATGTTAAACATCTAAATCGGAGGTTAAATACACACAAATAAACATTATATATATATATATATATATATATATATATATATATATATATATATATATATATATATATATATATATATATATAAATATAATGAATTCACTGATCTGCAACCAACGCCAAGGGATTTATGGTCACGATTGAGACATTTGCCCTACACTTACAAGGAGAACAGACTATATAAAAATATAAATATGTATTTTTTTATTTTAAAAAAAATTAATTTCATCCAGTTATGGTTTTTTAGGATTTATCAGGGATAGCATATAACTGAAATGTTTCAGATACTCAGCAGTTATAGAGTTCAATAGAAGAAATATTTCTAGCGGATTCCTACATATTCTTTTTTTCCCCCTAGAACACCATTCCCTTCGTTATACTCTTGCGGAGATTTTTATGGAGAAGTTATTGCTTTAGTTTAAATATAGTCCTTGGAAGTATAAAAATTTAGACGGTGAAAATCTGTCAGGCAATGTGAACAGAGAAAACTATCGTCCATATATGGGCAGTTGCTACTCCTCGCCAGGCCGTCGTCCACAAAATGGCCAATGTCAACAAAGCATTTCACTACGAACGGGTGATAATTGATAGTTGATGGCACCTGGAGACCTTAGATGTGTCTGACGACGGCTCGGCTCATTACGCTGGGCCCCGGCTAAAAGGCAGACTAGCTGTAATTTCTGCACGTGGTTTTTATTTAACTCTAACGCGGTAAAATAGTCGATATTACAGTAAAGAATAAATAGATTAATAATAATTGGTTTCCGATAGTCTAAGAAAAATAGTACGAATGTATCCATATGACATTAGATACATTAGGTCAATTACTGGCTTCGTTATTCAATGACCGTGGGATTTGAGAAACATTTCTCTCACTCGGTTATTACAACTGAGAGTACGGTACTGCAAGCAAGTCATTATTAGTATATATGGTATTAACTGGAGATTTTTGTCTTTACAGAAGTTAATGTCGCCACTAAACTTCACATTGTGAAATTCAAAGCAATTTGTGATACCTACTGCACAGGTAATATTTGGCAACGTCTGTTGCGCTAATTGCCTCGATGGACTACCTACTTACGCAACATTTCTTTTAATAATGAAAACGAAATCCATTAAGAATTGCTAATATTGTTACGTACTCACTCAATCAAGAATTATTGGAAATACACAATACCATAGGTAACTTTTGATACGTTACTGTGTCTAAAAAGTACGCATCTTTATAGAAACAATGGTCGACACAGAAAGTACATGGCGTTCCATGGATGTACTCATTACCAGAGTTTCTTATGGAACCATTTACCATTTGTAATTGACTGTGAGATATTAAATAAATTGACCTTTACATTTGACTTTGGACCGAGCCTGTGTCCTAGTGGTTTGAACGTTCGCCTCAGATGCTGGAGGTCCAGGGTTCGAACCTCGGCCGATTTATACCAAAGATTTATAAAAATGGTACTAACAGCTGCCTCGCTAGGTGCCCAACACAGAAAGGGTAGTGATAGGACTGGTCGGCCTGGTGTCGGAATAATGTAGCTGAGTGGGACATCATGTTACATGTCTGTGGCACGATGCCCACGTACTCATCACTATAAACTGCCAAGAGATAGTTTCCTAAATTGTTTCTTAAAGTGTATGCCCTTAAGTTTCCCAGGCCAATCAGAAATAACTGTTCCTAACATTTACACTCCAAATCGAGTGTCTGTCGTCGATTTCACTGGCTAAATTAATGCACAATTGGCTTCCTTTGAAAAATCGATTATTTGACGTGTGCCCCTTTTGAACTACGTCGGGACAGAATATAATTACGCGTACTCCCTGTATCAAAAAAATGACCGGGTCAGATTCAACTGAAGAGTATCGTTGTCCTTTCATGTTTAGTAATGAAATAAAGAGATAAACATTGAACTTTCTCCAGACCTTTCTGCTTCGACTATGTTAGCTTAGAAGCGCAATTTATTTAACCATGGGTTTCAACAAGTTTCGAAATTTGACACATCACAAAAGTATACTTTTCAATAACTCCCTGCACATTACTGATGTGACTATTCTAACTTCAGAGATTAAAACTGAATGGCGAGGATCTTTAAGCGGGGCTCTCAATATATACAGTGAGAGAATATGTACCATAATCAAATCATATTTTGAATCAACATGTAAAGCTCAAATCTTTTCAATGAGAAACCAGAAGATAAGATGTTCTGCGTCGCTGAAAGTAGTATCAGCACCAGTTCACGCTGGAAAATCGAAGAAGACATGAGTGATCCTGGACTAACACGATCTACTGTCACTGCAAGATCTCGATAGTTAAAACCAGCCAAGAAAGGAAAGGAAGCCGTTCAGTACCCGATGAGATTATTTATACATTCGACCCACCCAGATAAAGACTTCAGAAAGTTGCAATGATGGTTCATACTTACACGGTGAAATTTAAAGAGTTCGTCTCATATTCTAAACGAGAAAGCAACTGCATTCATTGCCGATTTATTAGAGTCGATGTTAGAGGAATTGAAACGGCATCGCAAAGCTTAAAATTGCGATCACTTGAGACTATATATTACTCGCGAAAGATTTAAGTCTTATGTGTGGATCGAGTTTAGAACAAATTAACGTCTTCCGAAATCTTGGAAAAACTCAACACGTCCAGCAGTAAAAGTACGAATTTGACATGACAGATGGAAATGACACGCTTCACATGACAAACTTTTCACCTTCAAGAGGTAACGGAGAATTTAAAGACGTTCAGTCGGTGGAAGAACTTCGCACAACCCTCAAAATATCGTCAAGATTAACAATGACAAAGATCAAATATGTTTAGCCTGTGCCATTGTCGTGGCTCGAACTCACGCAGCAAGCATGTATTTTTAGAAAAGCGCGCACAAGTGTGTGCGTTATGTGTGTGTTTGTGTGTGTGTGATTTGGATTTTGACATGAGAGATAAAAATGTCACGCTTCACATCATAAACTTTTCACCTTGAAGAGGTAACGGAAAACTTAAAGACGTTTAATCAGTGGAAGAACTTCGCACAACTCTCAAAATATCGTTCAAATCAACAATGACAAAGATCAAATGTATTTAGCCCGTGCCATCGTTGTGGTTCGAACTCAGAAAAACGCACACACGTGTGTGTGTGTGTGTGTGTGTGTGTGTGATTTGGATGTTTAATGTTGCTTTAACAATTTTCAGTTATATCGCTATGATGTCTGCAGTGTAGCAGTTTATAGTGATGTCTAATACTGGGCATCATGCTGCAGACATGTAGCATCATATCCGACCCAGCCACATTATCCTGACACTAGGCCGACTAGTCATATCATTAACCTCTTAATGCTGAGCGTATAGCGAGGCAGCTGTATGTACCATTCTTATAAGTCTTTGGTATGACTCGGCTGGGGTTCGGATCCGTGACCTTCCGCATCTGAGACGGACGCTCTAATCACTAGGCCACCAGAGTTATTTCAGAAAAGCGAGCGTGTGTAGAGTTCGCGAAATGCAGGACTTTAAAGACGTATATGCTCTTCGTTATACATTGTAAGTGCACCATCGAATCGTTCGTGGAGTTTACCTATTTAGAAGACCAGATTTCCCATGTGGAAAATATATACACGTTTATCGTAGCCAATACCATTTTTATCGTATTACAATTATCACAAGATTTCTCTGATACGGTTACTACTACGACAAATTTGACCAAGATTTTAACAGTCGAGAGCGTCATACTGATTTTTCAGAGATCTGATGAATGTTTAGCTTTCAGACCTTGCATTTCCGAAGAAAAAATTCATTTTTTTACGTGCAAGCAAACATTTTTCAGACAAGCCCGTTAAAAACAACATCCCAAGAAACAACTTTTAAAACATAAAAGTGCCTACGTATTGAGAGTGTACCACACGTGGGAACAGCTTGTACCACTATAGTACTTCACAAAATCCTGAACGAGTGATATGAAGACTCGAATGACCATTCCTTTGCAAATAAAACGCATCAAATAGCTTTTACAGCAGAGCACCGGAACTTCCCGTTCATCGACTTACTCAACAGATGTTTTCAATGAGAACATTCACTCATGATCCATCATTAGATGTGAAAAGAATGAAGATCTTTGAAACTTTATCACCTTTTGAATCTTAGTTTGCATACATCCTATTCGAATTCACTAGTGCTTGCTAAAGATGAATTTCTTTATCGAAAATTTAAAGTTGAAGCCTACGTCAACAACACGGACAACAGTCCCTACCCAAAAGGATATACTTTTTATTTTCCCAATGACTATCGTGTGGAAACCTTTGATTGTTGAAGATTTCCTTTTATGGAAGACGTAATCATCGACTTAATCATCCACTAAATTTAATAATGCCAGATTATAAGGATCAGGTTCCATTATGTCTGACATGACGTTCTTCATCAACGCAGTCTTGGATTCCCCTTAGAACAGGTACAATATTTTGAACCTGATTTCTCGAGAAACGATGAAAAAAAAATGAAAAGTGGTTTTGCGAACATCACAATCTCAATATAAATTTTCTTTATCCCCGAAATCTAGTGTGCATTGATTGCAAAATGACGCTACTCATCACTTATGTCTAGTCTTATCAAATCACATTGTCAACCATGTAAATACATTCATGTTAATGTTTGGTTGATGCTGGAAAGGAAGGGACAAACACTAATCGTATAAGATTTTAAAATTGTGAAAAACACTATTTTAGTAACACTGAACATGTCTTGGTGGGAATAGAAAACTTTTTAAGAAATGAAATCAACAGGGAAAAGATTGGAAAGGAAAATCTGAAAGCTAAGGAACAACAGCTGCAGCAACATCATGAGTAGAAAAGGAGGAGTAGAAAATGGAGACCGATGGGCCTGATTAAGCTTTCTGTCTCTTGCAAAATAAAACGGCTCTGCTGCATTGAGGTCAATAATTAAATCTAATCGTCTTGGATATCAACGATTAGATCAATTATCCATGGCAACCACACGCCATTTTTAGGGCATCCTATATCTTTTAGAGAAAATGTGACTTAAATTTAAGACAGAAATAGAAACAGTCTTGCCAGTTCTCATGACCAGGTAACATGTAAAAGAGACAAAAATGACTCGCCAGCAGTGCTCGTTTGGAAAATTCCGCTAAGATGATGTCGTGTTCCAGATAACAGCGCTTCTCGGGGCAGATGAGGGAGTACTGACCTACTGACCATCAAGAGAGGGCAATTATCTCCTTGCGAACGGGGAAAGAACTCGTTCACATAAAATTAGGAAAGTCTGTGCTAAGGAGGCGGTGTGTTTGTGTGTGTGTGTGTGTGTGTGTGTGTGTGTGTGTGTGTGTGTGTGTGTACTAATAAAGTAGAGGAGAGAGGAACTCTCAAACAAAAGTATAGTAGAAGCTTGTGTCTGGTTTGAGGAAGCCAGATGGAATGGCAAGTGTGCATAATGCATAGATAGGTCATGGCCTTTCAATAACCACCAAAATCCCTTTCCATAACCACCAAATGGCCTTTTCATAACCACCAAAAGCCCTTTCCATAAGCACCAAATGGCCTTTCCATAACCACCAAAAGCCCTTTTCATAACCACCAAATGGCCTTTCCATAACCATCAAAAGCCCTTTCCATAACCACCAAAAATTGTTCGAAAAGAGAGAAACTACTAAAAATCATTGCCACTATATGTGTTGTATATTTGTTTGTTTAGTTGGAATGCTTTACACATTTTATTTAAACTTGTCAATATCTAACATGAACCGGTACATCCTTTCTTAAAATTTGTATTGCAAATATAAACATTGCTTTCCTTCGCTTGGTTCCCTTTACAACCAACTAAAATTTGTATTGCGAATATAAACATTGCTTCCCTTTGCTTTGGCATAGTGTGATAATATGTGCGAATGCAAGAATAAACATCTATTGCTCACTACACACAGCTTGTTGATAATATTGTGCGGGATACTGGACAGTAGATCACAAAGTGTTAGATATTTGGCCAGTATTTCACATTTAACTTCCCGTATAACCCTACACATTTTTCAAAATGAAAGCATAATGGTAAATTCCCGTTGGGGTCCCGATAGGCCCACATTGTAAACCTACAGCGTAATGTTAAATTCATTTGAGCCTCAATCTCCACACATCAACACAATAATCACAATTTTTGCAATGATATAGTAGACACTTTCCCGCTGATGATCTATCGACAGCTGTCAGTTTATCACTGCTTATCCCGGTAGACCCGGAATCAAATTAGACATCAGTCAACAGCTGACAATTCTTAGGCAACAGTATTTTTCCTGTTTTTTGTTCGATTCCATACTGACAAAATCACACTCACTATCTGGAGATGACAAAAACTCCTAAGCATGAGATTTTCTTTCGATTAATCACAAAAAAATTACATTTGAAAGAAGTGTTTCTGATTGGCTGATACTGAAACTCAAAATCTGAGTTTACTATGTTCTATGGGTTGTTTTCACAGACGTCACGATTGTGTACGCAAATACCCACAATGCAAAGTGCGCGTACCTTGCGCCGCCATATTGAGTCTCTAACAAACCTTTATCGATATGGGCTATCACGCACATTCAAGATAAAATCTGATTTAATTATCGCTAAAGGATGTTTAGTTAATCGAAATGATACATAGATTATACATGAGATTATGTGCCTCCATAGCATGAAAATAAAAATGCAACTAAAGTTCTATGGTTTATATCGAAAGACAGGAAAGAGAAGTTGAACCGTATTCGATAATATTGCTATGAAATATAACTACAGGCTTTTTTATATATAAGCAGACAATATCGACTTTCTTAAACAAAAAATATTTGGTATGTTGTCCCTGAGCTTGTCACCTTGAAAGAGCATTTCTGAACAATTATCTTCGGGATACAATACCATTTACGGAAATAAAAGTTCGAATTGTGTGTATTGTGCCAGAACTTTAATGAATAAATACGTTTCGCGAAAACGTGCTTGTGCCAAAGTCAGCTGAAATTATTTTTTTTAGTCAGTACGGTCAAATATTGTATTTGTGGTGGTTATGATGGTCGTAGAATGATACTGAACGGAAGCGATAACCGTTCAAAGAAGTTTTATCTTCAGTGTATTAAAACGAAACATTTGCCTAACGGAACATGACTTTGTACAGAACGTCAAAACCGATTATTCTTAAAATGCTTTAAGAAATATGAAATTATATATTAACTATTGTTTTTTTAAGCTTGAACTATAACTAAATGATTGATATGAGCCCATGTAAATTGGGAATCATTGCATGTTTCTACACGTTTGTGTATCGATTTTTTTTTTATGCGTCTGTTTACGAAAGAATAACAAAGATGGTTAAAATGTTAATGTTTTACTTGAAGAAAAAGGGGAACGTCAAGCATCTGGTCTCGTGCGGTTGACATGCAGAACAGGATGTGATGTATAAGTATATCCTTAAGCACAATATGAGACTTGCCTTGATAATTATATTGGAAGAACAAAGTAGTACTGGTTTGAGACTCAATATGGCGGATATGGAAAAACACACGTTTTGTGACGTCACGTGAAAACAACGGATAGGCTTGGATATTACATCATCATATACACAAAACTTGTATCGTTCTCCAGGTTTGCAAAGTCTCACGTGATTCAACACTGTTGTTCAACTATGCAAGCTAATTTCCCCCAACCCCCAATAAAATCTTTCAATGAAGCTAAATTGCTAGTAAGCAAGCTAAATAGTCGATAAGTTAGTTATATAAAGTTGAGATAATGGAAGTACATACTATGCTAATGTGAAACCGGGACATAGCATTCTTCCATTCTGCCGGTATAGTCAGGTCCGCCCCTAGGGAAAGGAGAAAGAGGCAACCGCCTTGGGCCCCACGCTTCTCCGCAAAATAATTTGTTTGTTTGGGGCCCTGCGCTCATCGCTTGCTGCCTTGGGTCCCGCATGCTGCCTTGGGCCCCGCAGATCCTAGGGCCGGGCCTGGTTATAGTGACTCGTCTATGTTAATAATTCTATAATGCAATAAAATGTGTAAAGCATTCCACTGTGTGTAATCAATGCTATTGTGTACGTCTTACATAAAGTCATAAAGTGTATCATAACAACGATCGCCTCTTCCGCCAACCTGACAAAGACTGATTGACGTCAATAGAGTGATTTTTATCAAGAGATGTGATGAAATATGTCCTTAATGAAAGCGATTAATGTGCCTTCCCTAAAAGGATTGTACTGTGTGTTACCATGGTATAGTATAGCGAATGTGCATAGCTTATTTTCGGGTTAGTGTGGTGTTCGATTATTACACGGGTACATACGGCCACGTGTACTTCTTGCACTTTGAATACATTACACATTCATACAGGTACTTCTGAAAATGCTCAAGTTTTCAAGGAATACTCTCTGACAGAGGTTGTCTGAAATGAACCTTTTTATTAAAATGAAATCTGACATGCGTTTTTAGGAAAAT